TAAACGTGAAAAACTTTCGTTGGACGAATTTTCTTGTAAACTTCATATTTACTGAGATATCGCACTTTGACGCACTAATGAGCAACCCTGTATATGTATATATATATATAATTGATTGGATATCTAGATTTAAGGGCATGCTGTGAATGAATATGTTTTCATTATTTTAGGTAGTAAACCAAGACACGATCCCACGCATAAAAACAATCGAAAACACAAAACCATCTTCCTCCATCTGATCCACCATGTCATTTTCCCAAGCAAAACAAAAGAAAAAAATCGAAAAAACTTTTTGACCAGATGCAAGAATCTTGCCCTCATACCAAAATTTATACGGACAAACTGATGATGGTGGCGGAAAACACCGAAACGTTTTTGTGACATTTTAAATGGTAAACAATAAAATTGACTGGAACCCAGCAATTTCTTTTGAATTATCTCTTAGCATGGAGAGACTAGAAATTTTATTTTAATATTTAAAATTCGACAAATTTTAACGTGTGACCAAAGAAAATAATTTGTGTACCGGCCATGTGTTTTGGATTGTTTTTGTGCTGCCGTGGAATCGTGTCTTAAGTAATTCATTATCAGTAACCCTGAGGAAGGCAGCAGAGCACTGTCGAGACGTTGGAAAATAAAGAAGTTTAACATTTTGGATATGGGTGGACATCTAGCTTAAACCCAAATTTCCCAATTAGGACGACATCCCCAAGAATTTATGAATTAACAATATAAATACACATCGTCCAAGAAACTTATTAATAAAACAAATATTATATATTAATATTTAAGTTTTTATGTCAATATGTATTTACTTTAAATATCTCCAACTGTCTTATATTCAGTTCACCCAGCAAACTGTTATTGAAAAGAAACATTTATTTTGCCCAAGTTTTTCAACTTGGTTTGGTTGAAGTTCGTAAAGCAAAAATACAGAAAGGGAGAATAGACATTTTTCTTTTTCCCTTGGGTAATTAATCAGAATGGATTTAAGGCAACAACATTTTATCAATTTCGATAATTAATTTTGACAATTTTCTTTTATTTTGCAAGAAAATAAGCTCTTAACGTCTATATATATTTGTGTACATTAATCATTGAGCGGATGTTTAATGTTGACAATCGTATTTTTTCATCGAAAACCTTGTTGATTGAAAAATTGAAACATCATTAGTACTCACCGTGCCGTACATGAAAAATGCACCCAAGGCTATTACGCGTAACAGTACTGGACTTGCAGCACGAACAACCTGAAACAAAATAATAATAATTGGAAATCTTGAATAATGGACATTCATATAATTCAAATAAGTTTCCTCGTACTCATAGAATTTTGGTTAATGTGTAGGATCATACATATATTTATTAGAAATGGAAATGAATGTGTCTGGACCTAATGTTGGGTCATAGATAGATATTGTGTATTTACTTCTGATAATTGCATTTTGAACTGTCTAAAGTATATCAGACATTTGGAATATATGAACAACTTTACATGTTAAGTTCTCGAAAGCTACATACAATCAGTCTCGAATGATGGATTTGAAATTGAATAACATTTAACTGTTAATTCACCTTTCTGTTGATTTATCAAAAGCAGCTAGATATATTCAGAATTTTCGAATGCTGTATGCCAGCGGCGGATCTAGGAGTTTCTTGAGGGGGGCGGGGCGCAGTAATAAAGAAATAATATTAAATTCAATCAAACAAGTTTTTGTAAATAAGTGTGTATGTATGTATAAAAAGGCCAAGCGCTCTAGACAATTACGTCATCATCAGGGGCACTAAAAAATAACAAGCAAAGCAACAGTAAGTAACCTGGAGGATATTACACAGACAAAAACAAATGAACAGGAAACAAAACTTACTTGTCAAATCAAAATTGAACAGCGAACTACCTCCAGAGCACCGAACCGAACATGTGAAGCAATAGTCATAAACGGTCCAAAGGGTTAACATTGTAAAAGACTTCTTGTAATATTAAATTGTATGTTAAATAATGACAAGTTTAAGCTCCCGTGTATGCGTCATGTTGAGAATGAGTTTTGTTTTCAGCAATATCATTTATAGAATAAATAATATTTCAGAATAACTCTTTTGTAAAAGTTTATTTCAAGTCATTTCTTTTATCAGATGACACGTTTTGCTTCTGTCTTCCGAAATTGGGTTTTCATTAAAACTCCGTTACGTGTAAAATTTCTCCATATTGAGAAAGATCTAGTCACTTGGGCGCTGGTCATACAATAGTGCTGTTTTAAAATAATATAATAAGTAATGAGACTTTTGTGCATTGCTCAGTATCATCGTGCTCAAAGCGGCTACTTTTGCAAATTTGAACCTTTATCATAGCAACCATTACCTCACAGGCATCTCGATTATGTCAAAGATTGAAGTGGTGGACATGTAACAGTAAATGCGAAAAGGGCTCTATTAACGAAGATGGTTCAGTAATTCTGAACACATTGATAACACTGTATAAGCAAACATAAAATTAATTATACTTAGTCCGATTTACGGTGGAATCAACTTATTAAACCTTTTAACTAAGCGCGACTGATATAAATGCATCTATGTGATATGTAACTCTGAACAGAAGTTAATCGTAGTGACATTTATACGCTAACAGTGAGTTTTGTTATGTTTGATCTACTTATCTAATAATTAATCGATGTAATTAACATGAATAAATATAGTTTTGTGACAATAGAGCGGAAACGGCTGACTCTTTTTCTTTCAATGCCCCGAGTCTTGCAGTTATTCTCACTTTAAGTACTCCTCCTTACTGTTTTTAAAAGCTCGGAGGGAAATACTATGCTCCAATACATCTTTTATATTAAAAATAACTGATTTATTGATTTTTAGCTGAATTATTAGTAATTTCTGTTATTGAATAGTTAGCTCATTTTCAGAAATGTGAAACTACCGAAACCCGACTCTATGTCAATCATGAGTTATGTGGCCAGTTCCCATGGATTCCGCTGTATCAGCAGCTAAGGAATACCGCCAATCATCATTTTACAAAGAAGCCTCATGTTTTGCTTATAACATTGAATTAATGTTAAAGTTAGTCAGAGTACAACCACGCTTAAGCAAATTTGTAACATTTTTAGTAATAAAAGTAGTTTTTAAAAACGGTTTGTCATTCTTCAAACAGTTAACTCATGTAATAATATGCCATTAACCTGTAATAACATTTTACTTTACTTACAGAAGAATTAAACATTACAACGTTTAAATTCAAGCACATTTTCCGGCAGCTTTTTATATCAAATTTTCCTAAAATGCACAAGTGGTAGATAGAACGCCGATAATATTCATTTTTTACTAGTACCTAACTCATCAAACTTACTGAGAATAAAGAAAAGTTATTTGAATTTTTTCCACTACAAATACAATAGCGAATGAGGCAATCGAGTTACAAGAGCATGTTTCTGAAGCAGCAGAAACTTCTATACAACTTTTCTTACGGGTAATAAATTTAATTTTCGAATCTGCTTGAATTATAATATTAAGGAAGTAGTCTAGATTCTCGTAGTAGAGATTTGCTGATGTTCCAAATTATGTTCCATACAACTTTCCAGTTTGAGGATTTTTCGATTTGGCAACAATAGCTATTGCAGGGAGTGTGATATACAAGTTTTTATGCTAGCAAATAAGCTGCTCTCGAGAAATAAATCTGTTTTTAGAGTGAACGTAGATCCATTGAATCGTTTCTTTTGACGCTAAACCAACTTAATGCTTGGATTTTGGGATAGTGTAATTGAATACCATTCCAAAATGGTTCACGGGTAATTTTTAATGGACTTTGAAGTTTAATATTCACGGTGGGTAGCACGTATCTTACAAAGACAGTTAATATTAGTAACAATGTAAGGCTTTAATGATTTACTACACACTACACGTTGATAATCTAATAAGCTTGAAATTGAGTAGATACCGAAATCCATCCTGTGGTTTCTATCCTGTAAACGGCAATTAAGGTTCATTTACTTGTCTTTATAATGGAATTGAGGTATTAAGATGCCAAGGGAACATTCAATCCCTCTCAAAAAGTAATCTCAGCTTTGATACGATAATTGTTTTAGCCCTGAAAACGAACTTTTCAATTTCATTATTGCTATTATCCAAGCAGGACATTAGCCTCATACATTTACATAATAATGGATGTACGAGTTTTTGATGTTGGGTTCCATGCTGAATTAGACAAGGCTAATTCTTGTCGGCTTAACAAACCCTTTCATATGAGTTTTAATTAAAATGTACGGTTTAAATTATAATATCAGGTCGAACATAATAATTTCAATATCTTGGAATATTTTAATTCACCAGTGGTTTTGGTGGACTAAACTTCCATTCCCATCTTTATTAATTTTTAATGGAAACGAAATTATATTAATTAACAATTTAGTAACTCTAACAATCAACAATGATGTTCAGCGTTCGAAATATTTAGTTTAATCTCAAAACAAACGGATTATCTTTGCATTTAAATTATACAATGCTGGTTAAAACACATCCGACGTTAAAATGTGAGTTGAAGTTTTTAAGCTAGGTTTTATCAGTCATTAAGTACCAGCCAAAGATTTAATTTACCTTTATTATTGTAATACTTACTAACGAGATTATTTATGTATTATGTTCATTAAACGTTTAAACTGACACAACATAATCGTGAGTTCTGTCGCGATTCGTTTACTGCATACTTGTAACGCCATATTAGTACAGTTTCATAATAAAAAACCTCAATTTTTAGTTTATTCATAGAGTTGTATTTTGGTACCTAATTTGCACTAAATTTTTAAATTAACACGAAATACATTTTTTTCCTTTTGAAAAGGAAAATATGTAGATGCAATTTGCAAAAGGGATGTGTCATTTCCTAGTTGGGTCACCCATCACATGAAAAATGTAAAATGGATACGTGGTGTGAATGTCGACTTTTCAGCTTGCGAATTTCTTGCTAAAGAAATGGCCCCACCTTTACGAAGAGATACGTAATTTATTTTTTTTCTATGTCGTTTAATAAAAATTAATTAATAAACACTTCTAAATAAAAGAAATGTGGGTAAAATTATCGGCTTAATTTGATTTTGCTGCTGGTTATTATAATTATAGCTTAGAAAGTCTCATATTTGCAAACTACCTAACCTGATTACTAGCGGTTTCTAATACCAGATTTGCGAGATTAAGCGGTTGCAATCAGCAATGTCACCAGTCTGAGCAGTTTACTGGGGATGTACGACCGCAATTGGAACTTCTAGAGGATTTCTAGACGACATAGGATAAACAAATAGCAAATGGACAATTGATTTGATTTTATCTTGAAATTAGTGACAATTCTTTAATATGTCACTATTTTTTTTGTAACTGAAATATATTATTAAACATTTCGGTCGGTGAATATCATCAATCCGATTAAACAAACCATTTCCAATTTCTAATTGAGTTACAAGAATATAACAATACAACTCGCTATTAAAAATATATAATTGTGACTGTGTGACATTTTGCTGAATTAATGTTGGCCAGAGTTACATTCCAGACTTCGGTTTCATCAAACAAATTCAAATTTCAATTTTATTGGTTTCTAAAAATAATGAATGTTGTTTGTTGACTTGTTTGATTGTAATAAATGTTTGTTTGGTTACCCTGCGTGGGCTTTGCACTTTTCAATACCAGTAATCTCGTCTTACTTCGTTGTCAATGAAAATACACTTATTCCGAAAATTTGGCTCCTGTTTTATCGATGAAGATACAATCTGAAAGCTGAAATATCTCGGGCGCAAACATCCTAAATAAGATCTGCTGTTCTATTTTGTCAGTTTTAACTTTGTGAAATCTTCAATTCGTTACAGAATACATCACATTCTTAATTAATTGTGAAATATATTTCTACGGTCTGTCAAATATGGTCTAAACTTTTCATTAATTTTGCAGCAACAGCTGCTGGGCTGGTAACAGCTAAGCTGGTACACTATATTCCTCAGTAGCTCATCTCCTCTAATGGGAAACCTGGGGTGCCTATGAAATTGGTTGCACCGATATCCTTAAAGCAGATTGCCTCAACAAAATCAAAGTTCGAAAACCTGTTTTTGCTTTCAGTCAAATTGCATGTTTCATATGCATAATTTTTAGAAAACTTTTGAAAATCTGGAAGCCAGCTTGTATTGCGGTCACAAGATTCCAAAAGTTATGGAATGTTTTCCAACTTGGCGCTAATAAAACGACAACTTGTCAAAGCTTTGTTTGTTTTCACATAAGTATGTATAAGAAAATATCGCAGGAAAATTGGATGTTTTTACCTCAATTCATGTTTTCCTAAAAACTGCCTAATAGTTCAAAATTTACTTCCACTTTTATCTTGCTTGATTATTTCAAGGATAATTGAAGTTACCTTTACCGATCTGACCAGCGCTTGGTATAGGNGGGGGGGCTACGGGGTCTATATCCCCCGGCCTCACGATGTCGGGGGCTCATTAAGATCTAGTATAAAATCAAATAAAAAAATGGGAAGTTACAATGCACTATCGACGCCCGATAGACGTCAAAGGGATTGCAGCTTTTAAAACTGTTGCGACGAGATGGTGATATCGGACCTTTCTTTTATAAAATAGCCTCTGCAGGGATCGTAGCCCCGGGCCCTACCATAGATTAATCCGGCCCTGAATCTGACTTAATTCTTCGTGTGTTTTTTGTATACTATCGGAATAAAACGCAATGTATATTTACACTTACCTTAATATTTTGCCATTTCCACGTGAAGAATAAAATCATAGGCAAGCAGAAAGCGATTATGCAAGACAGAGCTAAAATTGAGCTGCGCATCACCCAATTTAAAGACACGACGCATGGTCGATCGTCAGTGCAGGAATCACAACCTTCTGGACACGCTGCGCATTCAAACATTCCAATGACATCATATTGATTGGAAAGCCCCTGTAATAAAAAGAAATATTTAATCAGAATAGTTAAAATTATTTGACTGGAGCTCATTGTACATTTTTTAGTACATTTTATACATGTTGTAATACCTACTTTTATATATATACATGTTGTAATTCTCATTTATTTTTCTACTGACTCAATGATGAAGATTTTTTAGATTTATTAAATTTTCAAATGTTTTGTTAGTTTAGAAGCTTTATTCATCATTATCACTGTTTGTACTACTGTATATGAACTGTTACTGAATAAAACAAGAAAAACCATTTAGTTGAATCAATGGTAGCAGCGCTATTGATGGGTCGTCAGTGAAATATCACACAAGTCGTAAAGCCGTCTGGAAGCTTCTTGACATATTTCTCAGATACGTCGCTAAATTTCGAAAGAAGTATTTTATAGATCTAATTTAGCTTTTGTCGAACTGTATAGTACAATAAATGAGCAGTTCCGCCTTTAAGAAGTAAAATTGTGAGTTATGAGTAGCTGCTTTGTGTTATAAAAAGGTAATTTGCGGATTACAGACTTCGTGCTCATAAATTAATTGGCTTAATTAATGAAAATTTTTGCGAAAGAAATGATAGACCAGAATATTTACGATGCACTAATTAATTAATTGATTCCATTTAGTATCGCTAGTAAAATGCTGCGTATAAATGCAGTGGATTTTTCATTGTCAGTACGAAAGGTAGTAGATATAAAATTTTTAATGTCACTTAGAATATGGCCCTTGTTTAGGCTTTTAAGAAAAATAATGACTAAGTTGGAAAAAAAAACAATTCACGCCCTATGTACGCAATTAAAATTATCCGTTAAAAGTAGACGATAGCAACAGGGCTGTTTTGAAGTTTTTAAATTAAAATCAATTTTTTTATGCAAAAGACTGTCGAATTGCATTGATGCGTGATGTGTGTATGTGTTTATTTACTGTATTGCTGTTAACCGATCTTTTAAATCCAGTAATCATTTGCAGTGGTTATGCGAGTTGCATTGCAGAAATTGAGCTCCGTTAACAAACCTCCACAGACTTGATAGATGTGTTTAATATGGCAATATGATTTATAACCGGCACCGAGAATTTAACATTAACAGCCGAGCAAATATTGTTTGGCTGAAAGGTGTTTTCGGGACTAATTCAAACGAGTGATGCTCATAATCACTTTAGTGCCGGACTAAAATAATCCTCTTTGAAAGTCGACAATTTCCATGTTAAAATGCTGGCATGCCATTGAATTGATAATTATTTGTTATATACCCGTCGTTTTATAATTTACCTTACTTTCAATTCATTCATGTCCGTAATTCCATTTTGCAGTTTAATTGATTACAAATCTGGGATAGGATTGAATATGAGCGCTGTATGTTTTCTATCTATATCGTCGAGTCGCTTAATTGAAATAAAAACTCATGTAGGTATGTATAAAATTAAATGACGTTTTCCTTTTCTGTTAATGTGCTTTTAAGATTTTTCTGGAACACTCCAAAACGGTTAATTAAAAGTATTGCTTAATATAGATTTTGCAAAATTCAGTTTTTTCCAAATCGACATGGAATATATTAAATTTACTCCCTGTTTAAAGAGAGAAAGAGAATATCTATACATTGAAGCAAAATGTAATAGTTCGAACTTTGATCGATTTTCAGATAATATTCGTTTGCTGTAAAGTTGAACTTCCATTCTATTAAAGTTTGTCCACTGTTTCAAAGTTGAGTATAACTTCCATGAATGAATCATGTCTTAAATTAACTTCTTGGAGATGTGTGCAAACCAATATAAAAATAAATAGAACTGAGTATACAATCGAAGTTGCTGATCGCTATTTTGAAATAACAGTATTGAATACTGTGTTGTAACATGTATTGAATACATACATTTTACCTATAGATGAAAATCAATAATCATAAACGATTTTTGATTATTTTTAGCTTAAAAATACATTCTTATTCACTGATATGTAAAAATCGTGCACGTTTGATATTTTGTTGGCACCAAGAACATATCATTTATTAAAAGGTGAAACCATCTACGAGTTAAGGGATTAAATCATTCAACAAAAATCCTTTCTCAAGAAAAATACGGCTTACAACTATCCACCTGAAAGCACCCTATATATACAGCACAGGCAACATTTTAGTGAATAGCACAGGCAAAATTTTAGTGAACCAGAACTCAGCTTTCAGGCGATCAATTTGGAAACACATTCGAGTATCTTTAGTTTCTTTTGCCATTTACCATTTACATCGTATTTCAATTTGCATTACGCAAAACGTTTCTAATCACAGAGCTATAAGTGGTAGTAAATGAATGGTTGGTCTGACGCTGATTTCTTTATTACCATGACCCTAATGGCGAAGCCTTGTATCGGTAGGTAACACAAAGGCTTCTGGGTAATACGGACCTTTAGTCCGAAAATTTACCACTTCGGGTTTAGTGATTGGTGGAAATCAAATGCTTACCGTGAATCGGACTCAAATAGTCAAAGCCTCCGTCATTTTGCTCTTTGGTTGATTAAACGGTAAATATCCCAATCTCACTGATATTTTCTCTGCTTAAGGAATTCAGGAATTCTCGATTCACATGAAATGTTTACCGAAGCTGAGCTAGCACTTATTGACTGCCTTTCTTGTAAAAGCGATATGAAGACAAAACGCTTGGATCCTTTCATTACGAATCTGAATGCTTAAATAATGATCAAAACTATTAGGAATTGGTTTTACAACTTGTCGTATAGTCGATCTACGTTAATCCTGTGTTTCGCTTTTCTCACGTCTAAAAATATTGAAATATTGATGTATTCGTGTTAGATGGATAATTACATATTGGCCCAATATACAGAACCTAAAATATTTGCTATATATAACCATTTCAAGTGAAATCCCTTATGAAGTCATCTACATTTATTGATACGGGCAATATCTGCAACTATTGACGTTCGCTTGCTGGTTTATTCCTGGTGATAACTTTTCATTTGAGACTCAATTCTAGTTCGTGATCACTTTGTTCTCGTGCTTTGCAATTTATGTATGGCCACTTTGCAAAATCTGCTCAACATTTTACGGAATAAATATTTACGACTATTCTTAAAAAGCCTTATCATATCATTATCAAATAATATTTACGTGTTGCATATTCAAATGCGTGTAATGATTTATATACGTTACAGACCTTATGTGTAAAATCGGCAGTATATAAAATGACTAGTGCGTATATAAACGGACTGAAGATATATATATATATATATGTCATGTAGATAGAGAATAATGGATATTGGTTTCTCAAATAACATAGTTTTTTGCATAACTTTTATTTAGATTCCTTAAAGCACCATCTGGTAGTGACGTGTTACCATGAATTCAGTGAAATAAAAGTAGAATACCAGTGAAATACAATAATTTGCTGAATGAACCATTTTAACAATTAATTATAACGAATCACCTAGACACACGAACAGTCAATACTTTTTATTTGGCTAATGCTTTCTTAACTGAATCATACCAAACAAGCACTATTTTAAACTAATTCCCACTGAACGCTTTCGTTTTACTAGTGAGATTGAATTTTATGAAGCAGACTATTTTATTTTGTCAACCGTCAGCTTAACGAAAGCTTGCTCTTTGCCCTTTTTAATATCAGAGTAAGTTTATTTTCTCATAAGACAGTTAGATGAGCAAAAAGTAAAACGAACCTTTATTAAAATGACCACAAATTATTAACTACTTTTCCAAGTTGTCGGTTTTGCAGAGCAACGCGAAAGCAAACATTGAAAGGGCGTAACAAATTAGACCAATCAAAGTCCAACTAATCCCCAGTAAATGTGAGTTTTTGTTACTAAAAGCTGTAATCTCAGTGAATGTAGCAAATTGCTTTTTCGTTCAGATAACTTCAGTTGGCTTATAGCTGATTTGACCGATTCCAAATGACATTTGTATGGGGTTATTAAACTCCATCCCCAAACTCTACGCAAAGTCTTCTTTAAACGTGAAATGAAAGGGTTACAAGTTCTTGGCCATTATATGACTATAAGTTGATATTTTAGAGATATTATTATCATTAAGACTTGTTTGGTCCAAGAGGAAATTTAGAGATGTATTTGTAGCTTATGAAATATGTGAATCTTTCAAGTAAGCGCTTAAAAAATATATAATACGCCTGTATTGTCCATAGATGCAAAAAAGCCGAACCATTAAGCTTCAATGTGAATTGGTTAGTGAGATAAAAGCAATAAAATCAAACGTAATATTAAGCTGTGTAGATCGGACGTCTGTTGGGTAGCGCGAATTGTTATTGCAAGCTGTAGGCGGTAGGAATTTGAATAATATGCTTCAGTTGCTTTTTCCATAGTAGTATATTTGCTGTTGTAAATTTAAGATACAATATAACATTTTTTTCAAGTTCAAGTTGCATTAATAGCAATGCATTAATGCATTTCATTGCAATTGAATACAATTGCAATGAAATGCATCTAATTTATGAACTCGATTTTAAGCTTCACGTTTAATATCGCATAAGGTATTAAAAGTCCAGCAACTTTTAACTCGGAATTAATAACAAAAGTTTGTAATTTTCAATTTTTCCTTGCTTTTAAAACTCTTTTTAAGGTTTTATGTTTAACAGCTTCGGAAAAATAAAGCAAAGAAAAGTGTACAGCTTTCGTTTCAAATTATGGAGCAATCAGTGACGATAGCATTTTGATCACTTTCTGGCTAAAAACTAGAAAACTTTATAATCTTGTTGAAAGTAGATGAGTATAAAGTTTAGTTCTTATGAACATTCGACTAGTTTTTACGCTAATCTTAACTTTTATGTGCTTTCAAAATGTCTTTAAAAGAAAGCTGCAAATGAGATAAAGCTGAAAACTAAGGAACAGCGGATTTACAAATGGTTTAATATGATAGGGCAAATTGTGTTTCGTAACAACTGAAACTGGCTAGTTCCACTGAAAATGATTTTCGTAGGCCTTCCAGTGAGATTTGGTATTAATTAAAAAAATACTTGT